CTGCTGCGGTTAAGTGAAACACTGTAGCTTTCAGCACGATTTTTTTTTTTTTCCCCCCAGCAGTTGCTCTTGTGTGGTATGGCAAGTTTCGGTGGTAATAAAAAATAAGCTGTAATTTGTGTTTGCTCTAGGCTAGCTGATGTTAGTGCTCCTTCCCAAGTAAAGGATTCCTGCAACTTGGAAAATCCTCAACTTTTTTGCTTTTACCCCCTGCAAAGTTATCTGAATTGCTCCCCGTATACCGATAAAGCACAGCGAGTGAGAGGAAGGGCCATTGTGCAGTCTTGGATTTGACATTAAAAACAAAACCACAACAAACTGACTCCAAGCACAAAATGCCCCAGAGGAGGCATCAGGGAGGTGGATAACGCTGGTTATCCATTTTATCTTCTGAAACCTTTTAGGTCAGTTCTGCAGTGTAGTTCATACAGTAGAAAGGGACTGAAATCTGAAGTAACCATGCTGATAGCTGCCTCTGTTTTCCCCCTTCATGTCTGAGTGGCGCACGTGAGCCCCAGGCTGTGGAGCTAACAGAAGAGCTGCTTTGAAACTTTTCCTTTAAACCTTTTTGTTGTTAACACTGCTACTTTGCTCCTGCTCTTCTTTCAAGTTGGTTCTGAGCCTCTCTGACAATAGGAGGAATTGCAAGGAAGCATAACTGAAGATAACCTCAGGTCATTATAACTGTCTTGCTATTTGTGGGACATCTTCAGACCTATGCGGTTCCAGCACATGCTTTTGTTGTGCAAAGGCTGATGCACATAACTAACGTTCTCGTCCCAGTGGGACTACGTGTGGGCAGAAGTCTTTGGTTCATAGCTTTCCATCCTGCAATAAGCCCAGATTGAAAACGTTATTTTTTAATAAAACCTACACTGCATGTGCTGCACAAAATGGAACTTGTGTTAAAAGATTCCTCCTCCTGTTCCTAACAAAGAGTCTCCAGCTTAATCTAGCTGGACAGTTTGGACGTGGTTTGCTCTAATTGGAATTTCACATACGAGCGAACACAAGCAGGGAGAATGATTTATGTGGGTTAGGGCTTTATTTTTTTTTTTAATTTGTTGTCATTTAGTGATCCTCATCCAAAAGGAGACCTTAGGAGTTCATGTTAGATTTTAACTGTAAAAGTGGGAAGGTAAGGTGGAAGTAGTCTGTCCCTGCTGCCACGTCTGCCTTCTGATTAGTGCTGTAAATAACCAGGAATCCTTGCTGGCTTTGAGCTGTTGCTGGCTGAGACAGGCACAGTGAACTAGTCCCTGTCCTAAATTATGTACAGAAGATGACAGGGGCAAGGCCAGGTGGGCAGGGGGCAACAGGGAACGGTAAAAAACCAAGGGCATCTTAGAATAAGGAGTAGTAGTTATTGATTTGGTCTTGCAGGGCATATCATATTGGGTCTGCTGGTCCTCACAGCTTTTCTCTGGAAATGGGGTAGAATCAGGCCTTCGTGATCTACTTATGAAATGCTGGATTAAGGCTTTGCAAGGGGGGCAAACTACTAGAGTGGGATAGCAGTACATGTATGTACAGAAGATGCCAAACTGAGTGACTGAAATATCCTGGAAAGGAGAGATAGGTTTGCTAATTGGCGTATTCTTTAAACGCTGCAGTGGCTTCGGAAGTGTTTGAGGATGACAACGGCAGTAGCTTTGTATCCGAAGAAGATTCAGAAACTCAGTCAGTGTCCAGCTTCAGCTCTGGTCCCACGAGCCCCTGCGAGGTGCCTGCTCAGTTTCCTCCCGCAACGCGACCTGGAAGCCTGGATCTGCCCAGTCCTGTCTCCCTTTCCGAGTTTGGGATGGTCTTTCCTGTCCTCGGGCCCCGAAGTGAATGCAGCGGGGCGTCATCCCCTGAATGTGAAGCTGAACGAGGTACGCACAGCTGGATACGCCCTGGGCCAATGTTTTTCAGCTTTATAAAGGGAGCAGGAAAACCCTCTCAGCTGCCCTAGGCATATTGCAAGCTCGCTGAGCCTCTGACCCACTGGCTGCCTCCTTGAGGAAGGCAGTTCTCGAACGTCCTCGTCCCACAGTAATGATGACATTTAAAATTTGTTTTTAACTACTCATCTGCTAGCTGGGGAGGTTCCCCAGCTTTGTCTCAGTGCAGCAATGGGGTTAGAGGTTCCTCAGGAAATAAATGAGCAGTGGGATTCTGATGGTATATTTATTTCGAGGAAAATCTCAGTTTACTTTTTTAATTGCTGTCCTGCTTGCTGAAAATCCTGCTTTCCAGAACAAATCAAATAAGGTGCCAAAAGGAACCGCTTAATGCAGTGGCTGTGCAAGCCTTTGCTGACAAATTCAGACTAGAGGATTACCACTGCTCTTGTGTACTCCAATTTAAGTCTGTTTACGTTGTAATTTGCCGATGCAGTGCACAAGATGAGCGCAGCTTGGAAGGCCAACTTCAGTTACTTAACATCTTGCTCCTGCTCCTGTAATTTTGTACCCTTTGGCAAAGGAAGCTGCAGAGGCACCCACCCGCTTGAACCTTAAGTTGCAGAATGAAACCTGGGTTTAACATCTAGTTTAATCCTTTCTTTGCAGGGGATAGGGCAGAAGGGGCTGAAAACAAGACAAGCGACAGAGTGAACAAGAATAGGAGCAGCAACAGGAGCAGCTCCGCTGAGGGGTTGGCTTTGGATAACCGAATGAAGCAGCTCTCCCTTCAGTGCATGAAAATCAAAGAGGGAATATGCGCAGGCAGAAAAGCTGCCCAGATTGGCTGAGTCCTTCTTGTGCCCTATCCTGATTAATGGGAGTATAAATATTTATACATGAACTTCTAAGTGTCTGAAGAACATTGTGCCAATAATACATGCCAAATCTTAAGCGTTTACTCTAAGAATTTAAAACTGCACTAAGAAGTCTAATTGATGTTGAGGGCTGAAGTTTTTATTCAGTAAATCCTTTGTAGGCCAGACAAGTTGTCAAACGTTTAAGCTGTGCTCATATTTCACAGACTTTGTAAATTGTTTTGTAGCAGCCTGGCTGAAGCAATAATGAGTAATGTTCCTGTGTAGATTCATGCCAGTAGGGTCTGAAATCCAAGCCAGACATTTGCAGTGAGCAGTTTGGCTTCAGTTTTGTAGACTGAAATGCTCTTTAGATACAGTGGATCTTTTGAGTGTAAGTGGCATATTCTTTAAACATCTGTATTTGTCTGTATTATGCTGAAACTGTAGAAATATTTTGTATACAGGAAAGCTGTTGCATGTGTGGGTCTAAAAGCCTTCACTCTTCCCTTGGTGCTCACAGAAAGGATAAAGATTAGTCATGCCTTTAAAAATTGGCGTAAGAGAAAGAAACAGGATGGTAACACTCAGCAGTGATAGGCCCTTTCTTAGCCACCTTATGAAGTCTGGCTTGGACTCTAAGGGTGATTCCAGTGACCAAAAAGAGTTGATTGGCCCCTTCCCCTCCCCTGAGAAGTGAAGTATTATTTTGCAGCACTTTAAGTGTTATTGCTCGAAAATGGGAGTCATAGATGTGTTCAGGACAGTTATGATAAGGGATGCACCCTTAAAATATGCATGAAGGAATTGCCAGTGTAGATTGACCATGTGTTCTTAAATTTCTCTGTAGGTTGTACTGTGTGGGGTTTTATAATTGTTAAAGGAACTTGAGATTTTAGTATGCCCTAAAGAAAGTGTTCAATAAAACTAGGAAGGGCACGGGCATGTATTGCCAGCAGCTGTTAGGCAGTAGTAGTATCCGGTAATTATGCTAATAAGTGGTAGTAAAAAATCCTAGGACTCTAAGTTTTGGTGGCTAAGCATTTCTGAAAGCACCATTTTATCTAAAATGTTAGTTTATATTGTTAATTTGATGGGAATTTTAGTATTGCCCAAAGTATTTTCTATTCTATGTTTTTGCAGTCCTGTTGTATTTTGTCCCTGCCACAGCTTGTGTACCTATTCTCAAAGTTAATGTAAAATTCTTCACACTACAGTAAACATTTGTTTTTCACATTTCATTTTGAGTCTGTCCAAGCTAAGTGTTATCTCAAGTGCTAAGCATCACTTAGCTCTGATACTAAAAATCCTTTGTAGTACGTGAACAACTGTTACCTCCTTCCAGCTTTCCAAATCCCTCTATCTATGATTCACTTTGTATCCAGAATTCCATAAAACCGGAGGTTTAGCCAAGTTTTCAAAAATCCCTTAGTATGCAGAAAAGAGGAAGGTTATTCTACATTGCGTAACACCTCTGTATTTAATACTGCTGAAGTTTGCTATAAAGCTATGCAGAATTGAAGGTAAGGAGACCTTTTTTTCAGAAAAATTAGATTCAGCACATTATAGCTAGTAAGGTGAGCCTTTTAACAGATATGCATCTACATGCTCCAGTGATCTAAAGGCTGAAGTCTTCCATCAGTAGCATTTCTCAGCTCAATAAATGCTTAGGAAGGAAGTCCGTGGTTCCAACTTCAGATGTAACCATAACTCGGGAAAAACTTGGGACTGATGGTATTAAATTTGAAATAAAAAGCAGTACAGAAGTGTTGCATTGTATTAATATTTTTACTTTGGTAGTTAAGCTATTGTCTGTGCTGCATATAGTTGGAGAAATAACAGATATATTTGTGGTTGAATACCTACTTTTGGAAACCTGCCAGCCTACCTCTACCATTTAAAAAAAAAAAAAAAAAAAAACCTCTCTTGCTATCAAATTCCCTCTCACAGTTCCAGTTCTGACTAGAAACCCAAGCACCCTGCACTTGTGGAATGATTAATCTGAAGTTCTACAAGATACAAAAATAGAACTCTACGTACTGCCTTGCAAACACCCCAATTTTTTGGGTTCCGCTTCCAGTATGGTAGAAAGGAAAAAGTAGGAAAGGGTGTGGAAACCAAGATGCCTTACCTTACCAATCTTGCAGAAGCATGATATAAAAGAACGTGTTACAGACGTCTTCCCTTGGCCACCCCAGTACTTAGCAAATAAATTGCACTTAAAATTACACTTGAGCAAGCAAACAGGCAGAACTACACGTCTATTAAATTAAGAGGAAAACTCATTTTATTTTGAACTTCCATAAAGGCCATAATGATAAATATGACAAACTTAAATGAACTTACATCACTCTGGAATACAGGCAGATGAACAAGCTCTTTCTGGTTACTTTTCTGTTAGAATCCTGAAGTGTAACATGAAGGTAGCTGCCTTCGTGGGTATAAAAATAAGCCTCTGATGTATTAAAGTGTATGTATGTGATCACTTTAGTTGTCCTGAAGTGAGAATGTACTATAAAGTAAATGTGAATCCAGGAATTCTACTACTCTTTGGTATTATCACACCATTCAAATGTCCTTTTTTTAACTAAATAATAAGCGCTGCTATTCTATGTACACAAAATTAATTCAAAATAACTGGTTATTCAAACACTTTATTTATGGCATGGTCAGGTGCAGAACTGCTGTACAAATTAAGTACATGAAACTTGCATTGGAGAACTAGGACCGAATCTTAGGATCCTGGGGCAGATGGGATACAAGCTGTTTGATACTATTCATCCATGTACTAACTCGCAGCAAGTCTTTGAGAACTGATGGATTGGATTAACTAAGGGCTAACTCCATGCCTTCCTAACAAAACAAAAAAACTGCAGGGGAAATCTTACCCTGAGCTATAGAACAGCAGCATATGTATCCTGCATGGAGCTTCAAGATAGGGTTAAAAAAATATGTGGAAAACGTTTGCAGTGCATAAATAAGGACTATGTCAAAACTTCTGAAGAGGATCTCTCCAGGTATCCCTCAGCACCAGGATGCAGAGAAAAGCAAAAAAAAAAAATTTTCTTTGTAGTAGTCTTGCCTTAGTGAAGCAAAGAAAGTGTAAATCCTCTTAAAGCACCTGTAGCAACTGGCTTTCATTTTGTCATTTATCCCCATCGTTCTGCAGCTTAGGTAATGATCAGAACTGTACAGGGTGTGACAAACAACTGAAGGGTGCTATATGCTTGCTGGTATATTCTGAGCAGCTTTGCATTTAATGTTTAAAAGCTTGACTTGCATGGTTACAGGCAGGGAAGACTTAAGAGTCAAGAATGACACAATTGTCTAACTGGAAGTATGGTGATGTGACTTTTTAACAATCTGATCTGTTATTGTGTAGCTATTTCAATTTTTTTGCACACACAGACCTTATTTCTTTGTAGAAGTCTTGCTATGCAACATTTCAGTGCTTAATTCAGCTTGTAATATTCTCTGTCTTGTGGATCAAAATCACTAAGCAGTGTAGGACAAAGAAAAGCTCAACCTACATATTGAGTCTGTATTATAATTTAAGGAACTTTCTCAGGATTTGTGGAAAAAATGATAGCAGTAGCTATTTAGACAGAAAACAGCAGAATAAATCGTAAGAATGATTTTTTTTGTAAGAAAAAAGGGCAAGAAAATGTTGTTCCAAAATTACTTTGTCACAACCAGAAACTTAAGAGGAAATATTCTTATAAAGGTAGTCTATTTCCTTTGTACCTGAGTGTTCTCATTCCTATGTATGCAGGGAAACATACAACAATGGTTTTCTAGCAGATTAGCTAGGCTGCAATACTTGAATAAGACTTGCTTTATAAAGGACAATGATCCTTGAGCTTAAATCCTTTACAGTTATGGGGATGAGGCCAATTCACTGACTATTGTGACGAAGTATTATTGTAGCCTTGTGGAAATAGCCTCTCTCTGGCATTCGGAAAGTGAGTACATTCCTTATTTTTCATTTTTTCTGCAAACAATGCAGTATGTACTAAACATACACTTGTGGTACAGTATGGAAGCTAAGTTTCATGCTTGTTTCATCTTCAAATTATCAGCATAAGTTTTGGCACTCAGTTGTGCTTGGTTATCTAAAAAAGCTTACTGCAGAGTAGACGCTAACTACAGAAGAACTACAGCTTTTACCCTAGACAAGTCTTACTGGCTTGATCTCAAGCAGCAGAGGATGTGCAAGTACTTTGTTCTGAAAGCTGACAGTTGTTGGCATCTGCCTTGTGTACTGTCAAAATAGACACAGTTTAGATGACTTACTTAACTACCTCTGTAACTTTAACTTTGTAGCTGATAAAATACATGCAAGACTGTATTGCCATTCTGGTTCAGCCTCAGCTAAAAACTTAACACACGTTTATAGGGAAAATGTTGTGAAGTAAATGAAAATTTAATTTTGTAGCAGAGAACAGTCTTTGAGGCACCTGACTACCTCCCAAAAGCCTGCTGTTCCTGTGCTGATTTGTTACAATAATCAGAAACTGTTCCGCAAAAGAAGGTAAGTTGTTGCACTGTGACAAACTTGTTGCAAACTTCCTAACCTAGATGGTCTTTGAGAGAACTGCAGTCAAAAAAACCCTGAGTGTTCAATGTTCTTTTCAAGCTAGGCATTTGTCAAGCAGCTGCCTAACGAAGGAGATGACACAAAAGGATCTTGTACTTTTGAGACAGGGGCAATAGCAGACTTCTATAGGAATAATTTTAGCACACTGATTTCTGGTACTCTTGTAGCATGTGCTCAGTTCCTTAATTTCCAAATGGCACCTGTGCTTCAAAAATAAATGAAAACTACCATTTTTCTTGGGGAACTGCCAAACAAACCTGAATGACAAAGAACATCTTAGGGCTGTTTTAAAGACACCCTCTCTCCCAAACTGTCAGATGCTGTGAAGTTACATGTCTGCCATTTGGTTATTCAAAAACAAACAAAAAATGTAAAAGAAAACGTAATATAAAAGGGTACCTTTTAAAAGAGGTGGTCACGTACTACTGGATTACCAAACACAGTAGTTGCAGGTATAGTTTACAGGGGAAGAGTTTTAGGTGATCCTTCCTATTATGCTTAGCACTTAGAAAAATGACAGGGATAAAATATTACTTTGCCAGGATACTGGTGGTGGTTAGTTCACTAACTCCTAGCATCAATAAGTGAGACTACTTCAGTAGATAGAGAATCTTACAGTGCACCTTTGGATGAAAGCCTTTCACCCCCTGCTAGGTGTGCTGGCATGTTATCCTGCATGTATTCTACTGCTGGTTAACTCTCCCCGATTTTAATGCTGATCTGTATCAACAATAGTTCTTAAAGCTAGCAGGACTAGCCATAGACTGCCTTGTGTTGTAAGATGATTATGTATTAAAGTAATACAGATATGAAATAACAGCTCTGAAAGTACCTGCAATATGAGTGAAGCCATCAGTTTTCTCTTAGAAATAGCTAAAGCTGGAACACTCCCCAAGTCCTCGCATAGGCTCCTCTTGCTTTACTCCTATGCACATATTATAGATAAACTGAAGATGTTAGTGGCAGCATGGAATACTACATGCTCGGCAATGGTAAAGTCACCATTTAGATGGGAGAACTGCTTCAACTCTGGAAACATTCAGTACAGCAGCACAAACAGCTTTTACTACTTTTTTGGTCCTGAAACTGAATAAGCGCAATACACAAGAATATTTTTTTTCTTACAGGTTTACTTTTCAGAATAAAATCTTAAACCCATATACCCTGTAGTGGAGGAGAAGAAAATTTCAATGTTAGTTTTTCTCTTAACAGGTTTTGATTTGAAGTGTGAAAATTTTGAATAAAGTCGGTCTTGTTCATTTTTGTATAAGCATTTTAGCCTGTTCACAAGCCTGTTGTACAGTGCTCACTCTAATACCAGAGCAGCAACACCACAGGTAACTGTCTACTGCAATTAATTGAGAAGTTTGTGGCTCCATGCTGTTGGCTATTACTCAGAGTGCAATTTTCTTTTATGCAGGTGGAGTCACCTGTTCTCAGGCTGTAGCATAGGTCTTAACTACTTCCTTAACCAGTAATGCACAGATCTGTCTCCTCACTGAAGCTGTGATACCTTAAGAGGGGTAGCACTGTTAAAATCTAAGAAAAAGGGACCCTCTTGTTGAGGCAGGAACGTGGTGGGGATGATGTTGTAAACTCCAGCAACTATGTTCTCCACTTCCAAGTAGCAGAATCCACACCTGTGATAAAAGAAACCGCTGGTTAAGATAGATCAGAAATATTGTTTCTGACCTCTAAGATTTCATTAAGTGAGCTATTACCTGTAGTCACCGCTGTTCTTTTTCTGAAAGCCAGAGGAACCAGGATCTCCTACTGTTGACACCATGACAAGTTCAAAACCAACGCTATATTGCCTACAAGTGAAGTGGCAGGCTGTTACTTTAGTTATTTGGTAGTCAGGCTTATCATGAAGAGTTATTTATTAAAAGCTATAGAGTAGAACTGGAACGCGTCCGAAAGTTCTGTCACGTTTGTGACAGAAATGCTAGTCAAACTTACTATGATATAAATATAGACTTTGGAGGAAGACTTAACATATTTCAAATTCTGACCTATACTACATGGGAAATCCCTGCTAGTTTTCTTCCTCTGCACCTAAGCATACCTCAAGTGGTTAAGCTAGGGGTGACATAGTTATGTGCTGAGTGGCACAGATCATGGTCTGTGATCTGATCACCATCAGTGTTGGTGACTCAACAGAATTTCTCATGTTGCACTGTAACTTGGGACACTTTGTCTCCTACCTCTTAATACATGTAGCAGTCAGGCATCCCTGCCCCGTCATTCAAACTACCCAAATATGAGCTCAAAATGCAAGAACTAAATAAATATAAAAAAAAAATAGTGGAGCAGCAGAGCCACACCTTCACGGAAGTGCCTTTACTCATCCTCATTTCATGAGGAGAGCAGCTCTGTCAAAGAGGGGAGAGAATGGATAGAGAAGTGGTGCTATTTTTGGGGGGCCTGAAACACATAGCTTTACCAAAAAAACTGAACAAAAACCAACAAAAAAAACCAAACACCCCCACACTCGACTGCATATCAGGAGATGTTGCTATTCAGAGGCTCTATATACTGTTATTCTGAGAGAGGAATTTTGCAGGAGTTTACTTCCATGGATCCTATACAGGTCAATCTCAGTAAGGGGGGCTACCAGTTGTGAGAAAACACTTTCTCTTATCCTTTATAAGGTATCTTTAAGCACACTGCAACACTGTTTTGTATGCAAAATCACATGAATGAGACTGAGAACTGTAAGCCTTAAGCTACATTTTAAGTTATATCTATTTTGTATTCTGCTTTATAAGTTTCCTGTCCAAAACTCAATCCTCCTGAGCCCTTTTTAGAGCTAGGATGTAGTGGTTAATATCACTACATGCTGTATGACAGTAACAGCTGTGTGTCCGTGAACTATGCATATTCCTTGCAATTCAGGGGAGAAACTTTCAAAATAAAAGATATTCCATAGGGCACTGACATCCAATTCTTTCTTCTGGTCTGCTGGTGGCAGAGTAAATGGCATTTCAGGATTTTCAAGGAGCTTCCCACCATCTCTTTGGAGGATACTAACAAAGTTTATCCTTAGCACAAACACCCGGTGTTGATGCATGCTTGTTCTCTACAAACCTTGGTCCACGTAGTTCAATTAGTAACGGCCCACTCTTATCAAGCTGAAATTGATAAATGGGATTGTTTTTGTAGCTCTCTCTGAAATTTCCACATCCTCCAGCACTGTGACCTTTCCATTGTCCGTTAACCTAAAAAAAAAAAAGAAGTACAAAAAGTATTTTATATACTGAAGATTTAAATTGCTTATACATACAGACAAAACAAGACTAAGCTCCTCCCACTTCACATGTCACTGATTTTAGTAATTCCTCCTAATTTTGTAAGTGTGAGGTCAGAATGTTTAAGTAAGCATTCAGAAAGTTTCACTACAGTCTTACACCTACTTAGATCAAGGCCTTAGATGCCTTATTAAAGTGAAAAATGCAGATGCATTCAGTACATTTATATGTTTCTGACCATGAGAAATTACATGCAATAAAGGCTCTATATTCCTATCTATTCCATGACTACTGGACTGTGCATGTTTTTTTTGTTCACAGACTGTTCTGTTATGATGAATGAGAAACAGCAGCAGTGTGGGGAGTACAATACTGGTGTATTAACCCTTGCTTTTGAAAACACTCCTTCCAGCACTGTCCAGTCACCTGTATGCACACTAAGAACCAGCATTCCAGGCACAACAAAGCTATCCATGAGGACAGATTCCAACAGGTCAAATAAATACAAGAGAAAGAACACTGCTCAGACTTTGAGGAGCAGGCCATCTGTTTGCAAGTTCCTCCTGCTAGTCGTTAAAATGAAAGGTTAGACTTGTAAGACATGCCAGTCATTCACACAAAATTCTAGCTGAGATATATTCCTAGTATGTTACTTCCCCCCCACCCCATATCAAACCAGCACTGAACAGAATTTTTTTATGGGATTTAATTTCTTTACGCAGTGTCCAAACCCCTCAAACATGACAAGTTTGGAAGCAAGCTGCACTATCCTGTGAGCTCTTGGCTATATTTACGCTTCAGTTGAAGGTGTAACTGCAGCTCATGTAGATAGCTGAAATACTAATAGCAACTGGCCCCAAAACTGCCTGGGCCTCTGACTAAATTTCAGTCAAGTTTCTTGCCCTTGCCCTTGCCCCTGTTGCTGTACTCTCAAGGGGCATTTTTACATGAAATGAACCATGGAGATGTTACCATGATACTATTTGACACTATGAGTGCTTTGTCCAGTGATGACAGTCTTTGAGATGTCTTATACAAAATGTAAGAACAGTAACAGATTATGTTATTGCCAATCTTAGTCTGTTTGTCACAGTCTTGGTACTGCTGCCTATAGTTTTCCATTGCTGACTTTGTCCCATAATGCCAAGAATTTTTTCAAGAAAATCAGGCATGTGTCTCAAGAGAAAACGAGCAACGCTCCTGCAAGGTTTTTACTCTGCAGTTGTAGTAGCACAATTTGATCTTCGCAGAGTAGTTGCATGTTATGGCATATTGTTATTCTAAAGGCCAGTCTATTCTCCAAAGGCTGTATGGTGTATCTGCATTGATACAGTTCTACCAATACCTTTGCAGTGAAGATGAAGCTTATATACCAGATAGGATTCTTACACCAATAAAAGTTAAGCCACCATCCTGAACAGAGTCAGCCAGCCCAATAACTTTTATGTTGGTATGAATTATGCTTGCAGGGCAGCTAATTGTTGGGCAAGTTATGTGAAACTTAAGTACAGGATTGGCCTTGTGCTGATTATACTCAGATTGAGCATTTGTTAGCTTTCCATTTGCTGGAGATGGTCTAACCTGACATTTTTAGGCATTAGTATAACAATATATTTAACAACCTTGTACATCTCAAATCTGCAAAAGCCAGAACAGAAAGAGAATGTTTCTTTACCCGTTTAGAAACGATGTAAGGAGTAGGAATCTTGGAAAAGGTAAACTTGCACAAGGAATACACCTGCGTTGTAAAAGAAGAAGCTGGTCACACATTCATCTTACCCTTTTCATATGAAAACACGAAAAGTTAAACCCCTCCCCCCTTAAAACAAACAAAAAACTTAAAACAGCATTGCATACACATCATTTTTACAGACTTGCTTACTACACGCCCAAAACATCACCAAAGAGGAAATGAGACTCTAATACTTGGTCTCCAACCATCTCTTTCCTTCTTACCCATCCTTTACCAGATGGCATCTCTGGTAAGGACATCTAAGATGGCATCAGGGGTGGCGGGGATGGAGGTGGTGGCTGATCAAAGGAGGCGAGGAAAAAAATCACCCTTGGAATTGAGTATAAAAGATAATAGCTTAAGATTTAAAGTTTTCTGATGTCTCTAACTGAGATCTAAAATAGGCTAATGTTGTATAGATAGATAACCAATGCTCTGCCTGTATGCAGATACCAAATTTTTGTTCCAGGAAATAGAAGTATTTTTCAGTTGATTAGTTGTTGTTTGCAATATTACATCACATCTGTGTTGCAATGTAGGGAAGATTAAAATTTCATTACTAAAAACATGGACGCTATATCGTTACAACTATAACAGAGAACATTATTAAGCACTTCATCAACATTTCTGCTGCATCATTCATTTCCTTACTCCCCAAAACAACAGTATTAATGCACAAGTACACTTGTTCATCAAATTCACAAGGAAAGGTCATTTTCTCTTTAGTATAATTGTATAAATTCATTATGAGATCAACAGTACATACCCTGATGGTGTAATGGATAGTGTTTTGTTTCTCATACTGGGACACCACTAAGGTGAATGTATGGGACCCTGGAGAAGTCAGCTTTATCTTGGTCAGATAATGGGGACTGTTGATCCGAATACCATCAATATACGGAGGAGGATCAGCTGAAAAAGAAAAGGATGAACACTTTTCCTCATCAAAAAATCCCCTGGCTCAGTAAATTCCTTAGTCATTTTATATCAGTGATTTTTGCCAGGAAAGTCAGATTGTTGGTACTAAGGTTAGACTATAACCAGACTTGAGTGCTTCAGAAAGAATAGAGCATTAAAGATTTGCTCATAAAAAGGATCAAAAATGTTAAGAGCAACTATCATTTTCAGGAAAGGCACATCATACATCGAAGGACAAAAAAAATCTGTGCTATAAAATAAGCTTAAATCCCATGTCTTGCAAGAACAACTTGTTCCTCCTTAAAATTCTCCTGACAAGGAGTCTGTTATAGATACCCCTTCTCTGCTGGCAGGATTCCGGAATGCAGGCTGCTAAAAATCTTTGGTCACTTGGTAAAGATGACTTCAAAACATGTTAATTTAATTATCACCACTCTCCCTAACACACACACACACACACACACACACTTAAAATCCCTGTGACCACGACACAGATGTAGTTGCATCCCAGTATCAGTGCAAATGCACTATTTATAATAAGAATCCTAAATTTCTGCTTTCACAATGATACCATGTAATTTGTTATTTGGCCTCTAATTGGTTCTTTCCAGATGTTTGATTGAGGTGAGGCAGAAACAAGTCTAGCCAATTACTTTTGATAGAGGTAAGGCCTTTTATGTTCTCCACAGGAAGGGAAGGATTAATATAAAACAATGAGAAGTTTAGGAATGGGAAATCCCAGTCTCAGTGCCAAAGAATTAAATAGTTTTGGTCTGATCCAATTTTAACAGATGGTGAAAATAATACTGTAGCTTGACGAATCTATTTCCAAAGAAAAAGGTTTTAAACAATTTTGAGTTGGTGAGATTAAAAGTTTATAAAAGAGTCTGGGTAGCAAGACAAAACACATGAATCATCCAGTTATTGTTAACAGTCTTGCTGGAAGACTCCATGCCTTTCAAGCACAAATGAAACAGTTCCTTCCACTGTACCATTTGGTTTGCTCACTTAATGTTTTCAATAAAAACAAAACATGTAAAAATAAGCACCGCTGAAGTACTATTAACATCAGAAGCATGTCTTGGGCACCAAGAAGAAGCAGTTGCTTTAATAGGACTTTGCAAAAATCAACAATGATTTGCTCAGGTCTCAAAGGATGTTTTCTGCAGAAACACAGCTTGGATTATAAAGGTGGGGGTTTTTTTTTTGTTTTTTGTTTTTTTTGCAGAGTTCACTGAACAAGACAACAGATGAACAACTCAGCCCTCACCAGCTGTCCCCATAGAAATATCCCAAATTCCACTTTTTGTTCAAAATAGCTTTAAAAGGTACTCTCTAACTTTTGTACGAGGAGCTACCTTACATTCAAGCACAGCGCTAAAGAGGCTTCCTACTGGCAAAATCAACGGGCCAAATCCTGCCTGTCCTACAATGCATCTTCACTGGATGAATCCAAGAAATATTTGCCACACTGAGACCTCTAACCTGATGTAAAAACCAAACAAGATATTAGTAGTTCTATGTTTGAGTTGAAGTCTGAACTGTCCATTCAAGCTGGTATGACATCTACTTCCTAAGATAAGAAAGACAAAAGCAACCCATGTCTCAGACCTGCTATCTGTCTTGAGATAAAACATGGGTGGCTTTTTTGCAGCTAAAACAAAGTTCCAAAAGCCAAACCCCTTCTTCTCAAGGCAAGTAGAATCTGACCTGTAATGACCAACAGCAATGCTTTATTAAAAGTTAGGCACCTAAATACTTTTTTAAGCATTCCGTGCCTGATGCAGTTGAACACTTAAACACATTCCAAAGTAATTATTTCTTTCATGAGCTTGCTTAGGTAGTTTGCTAAGCCAAGTTTATATAACAATTAACATTAATTATTTTCATTTACTGGAAGCTGTAAACCTTTAAATAATTCCACAACTTTGGGGGATAATTGTTATTTGGTAATTAGAAGCACAACATCACTTCCAAGTATCAACTATTGCCACTGGAAAAGAAACAGAATAATGAAGAAAATGCTGTGCCAAAATAAGTGTTAGCAGAATTATGTAGACCTCTAAGCAGGGTTAACCCCTTTATCTCTGCCATGTACAGCTGGGCTTATTCCTTCAGTATAGATTGTTCAAGGTGGTCAAAGAGGGCCAAATGACCATTTCAGAGGACTGATCCTCTCCTATTAGGATGGGAACTCCAGTTTTAAAGCAAAGCATGCCTCTCTGCTTCCTTGCAAGTCTTCAAGTCCTCATTCATTTCTAAGCACCATTTTCCTGGCAAATAAGATACACTAACCTGGATAGTAAACTTTTTTGCCATCAGTCTTGTATACCACCATTGTAATGAATTCCCGATTGTGTGCAAAGTCATCCTATAAAAACATAAATTAAGAAGAGTTATATATCTCTGTGGAATGTAACTAACATATGATCAGAATCAAGTACATGTTCTGTCATCCCCTTTTGACTGCCACATGGTATGATCTGGTATTTTTATTTATTGAGATACCTAATTTAATTATTTTAAAAAATGTCAGAAATAACTAGATTGCAACTAATTTCACTGAAAAGAGTTCAGGCCTCTGGATGGAGAGTTACTTCAGTACCATAAAAAGTGTTTTTATTTTTAATTCTTTTTTAAACATAATGAACATGTACAAGCTACCAGAGCTACATTCTACACATTCAAGCACTATGGGTGGAATATAATGACCTCAGTTAATTTTTACTCTGGGTCTGTTTCAACAAACTTGTATTCAGGTATTTGTACCTGCTGAATTTAAAAGAAATATAGGAAAATATAAATAGTAATCTTCTAATAATATATAAAGCTATATAACAGGATTTACAGAATATATTATAGAACTCATAATACAGAAAAAATAAGAAAAAGAACGTGGCACCTTATCTGTGATATGTCTGCTAAGCAGAACCCAGACTGCAGCACCACCTTGTGGACACTGGACCTCTAGCTTGTACTGAGGATTATTAGCCAGGCTGTAGGCATCCTTCACTGGACCTTGTTTTGCATCCCAAGTACTAGAAGTAATAATACAGATACTTTATTAGATGAGTAAGACATTAATTTGCGTTTTGAAAACTAACTCTAAATATATAGGGAGCTATGTAACATCAGTAACAAAGTTATTGAAGGCTAATTTTCTACTGGAAGCTGTAACAGTGGTTACATAATACAGCAGTATAAGAAGCGTTATCTTACAATTTTGTTTTATAAATGGCTTTGCTACAATACAAGTGTGATGACCAAAAACGCTAAATACAAACAGTGTGACTGCTTAGTACAGTGACTGTAGTTACACAAAGCACAGCAAAAGCTGAACAGCTCAAGGAGCCTGGGGCTAGCCAGTTACTGTCATGACTGCACGTGCCAAATTTAATATGAAGGGAAAAATACTCTATGCTTTTGTAACTGTAGGACTCCATATATACGGCATGGTTAGTTCAAAAATCTAACCAAATGGTTTCCTCCAATTTTTTATTCAGAAGTTTTTTATTTAAAAAATTAGTTTGTTTCATGTGTAGAAGGCTGCCTGCATGAAGTGCTGAAAGTCTTTAAGGTACTCCATTTCAAAATTTTCCTGCTGCCTCATGAACCACTTCAACTACTACTACCACTCTGTGGTAAAAAAACAAAAGGTGCTGATGCTTGAACGCAAAGTTGCCACACTGGGAACAGAAGTGGAAAAAGCTATGTATAAACCCCATTAACCTTCCCTCCCCCCACTTTTCAGCTGAACAGCATGTGTGGAAGGCTGCATTAAGTTTCAAATTACTGCCATCATTACACCACTGTTGATGATGATTGCCACTGTGCTAGGCATTTCCTCACACAGAGGTATAACGATCACTAATAGCATAAAAGAGACAGACAAGCAGATGAGCTCTGAGGATAACATACACACATTACTTCATCTTACTGCACCATGGCAGTCTATTTCAGAACTGGTTTGAACATGAAGATGGAGGGAGCCTTTACAGATGAAACTCAGCATTTTTACTACAGATGAAAGAGCTGTTGCAGAGCTAACATACACAGAAACAAGGTGGAAGCAGTGGCCAAGTAGAGTACAGAGGAGCAGAGAAACAGAGAAACCCTTGCTTTCAGAAACAGAAAGAGGTACTCTCAAGCTGACTGACAAGACTGAATACAATCAATACAAGGTGGGAGATAAATGTCATGTTCTGAAAAATCAATAGACAAGGAAGATTAACTAACTCCATTTTTCATCAACATAGTTATTGTAAGTAAAATACTCTGACATCACTGACCACATCTTGCAAAGAGAACATACACTGCAGAAATGACTTGCTACTGTCCAGGAAAATGAAATCCAGATAAAAGCAATACCACTTGAGCACTGCCTGGTGACTGTTTGAACAAACATAGACTGTACCGAAGGCTGATTTCTATTCTGATGAGGAGACATAGGACTGATGTCAGACTCTGGCTACACAGCCTTAGGTTCACATGATCACAGAGGTCACAGGAGTTTCAACAACTTTATTGAAGCTGTCAAAAGCAAAGTCTGGATTGAGAATTTAAAAGGGTAAAGTCAGGTTCAAGAGAGCATGGTTGGAGTCCAATGTCTTCAGCTGTAACTAGGAAGAGGAGCAGAAAGGAAAGATGCCACATCAAAACATTTAGTGATGTCTCAACATAGAAGTTTTTCTATTGGACCAACCTGTGAATACATGTAGATTCTTTAAAAAGACTTGGGTTCCAGCTCAAATAAATAACATCATAATACTGGCACAGGTCTTCCCAAGCAATCCAGAAAATTCCTACAAAGGAACTGCTGTTATTATTTGCCTACCAGACATCTTGATTTTACTCATTTTTCAAAAGTCTCTTTCCTGGTAAACTATACAGCTGATATAAACCTACATTTCTGTAAAATTCAGTAATGTCTGCATTGCCCACACTTCTAAATTTTGGCTTAACTCCCAAAAGAAACAAGTTAAAACCAAGAGATACCATTTAGTTAGTATCCGCGATTATCTCAAAGGCCAGGGAATTTCTGAAGCTGTTTGGGTATTTTGCATTCTCAAGCACTGAGCAGAAGGCATGAGAGAATCTGTTTTATCCAAAAAGACATTATTAACTGATTCTGAACTGTCTTCCCCTTTTTTAGGTTTCTGAAAAAAAACGTAGACGCAGGAAATAGGTTTCTTCAATTCAACAACCTACTTTAGTCTGCTATTCAATTGAAGGTCCATCAAACAGGGACAACAGCTGTCCAACACAACCAAGTCTTCAATCAACATGCAAGTATATTTGCATACGTTTCAAGGTACTCCATATCCAGCATCCATGTGATTTGCTTTAGCACATGGGATCTGCTTTGCCTTTACAACACGCTCATCTATTTGTTTTAACTGTCTATAGCTCACCTAATCACACTACCAGCCAACAATGCCTGCAAAATTACTGACTTCTGCTAAAATGAACTCTCAAAAGTTAACAGCATCATAACACAAGTCTCTGATACAGGCAGTTGCACGTCTTGTAGCACTAAGAAAATGCAGTTGCCTTTAGACAATGAGATTGGTACAATGTAAATCCAATCAGAAAAATTAACTCCCTTAAAATTATTAAGGTAATTTTATATAAATTTATAACAACTAGATTTTACAAACATGTAATTCCTTACTAAATGAGCCACCAACTAGACAATGAGCTAATCTCTCTTTATTATCACAAAGCTAAGGTTGCTATTCTTGTATTTAAATAAAAGTTTTCCTTACATATTTGCATGGGACTCATCATTAAATGGTATTATTTGATATTTTTGGATGCATAATTTTGTCAAAGTAAAGTGGCACCAAACAAAAGGACTCCTTTGCCAAAGATAAACAAACAGCAACTAGGATATCAGAAAAAGAACCAACATCTCTTTGAATCTAAAATGCAACTTCTGCAGAACTTGGAAACAATTAGCAGTCTGCCCTGCAACCAACAAACCCATACTGACTTTCCAATGCTACACTCTGCTGCTCCCTAGGGAAAAATGGGACTAGACAATGTTTGGCATCATCCAAGTGATTTCTCTGCACAATGATATAGTGGTGCCACTCCCTTGAAGATGGCTATCAATCTATTCTTATAGCTGTAAATACAAGCAAGTAAAGAGTTGTTTAAGATATATCACCATAATGCAAGGGAGAAAACCTGTTCTCTTCCAGTGCGAAACCTCAAATATAAGCAAGAAAAAAAATTTAGCACTTTGATTGCAATGAGCATGTTGATACATACTTGCAAATGTTACAGGGGAAAAAAAACGTAGAAAAGTCTATTCACATATTAAAAGGCAGCATTATAAAGTATATTCTCAGTACATTATTTTTGCACTGAACCCTTCCCAAGAAGCTAAACCCAGCCAAACCTGAAATGATTGTTTAAAATATGCACATGCTCTCCGAAGTTTTGGGCTATTCAGTTTCTACCATTTATTTTACCCTCACCCTGCCCTCCCTCCTGCTTAGACATTTTTTTCCACTTTCCTGCAGGGATAAACCACAAACATCTGTATTATCTGAATATACAGTGATTTTTAAGTCTTATTACCATTGTCTATTTTCTGAGCTGTTCTGGGATCAAAGTTTAAGTATTTTTGTAGATCTGGGGTCCAATTTCTTGTGTCATTTTCACTGTATCGTCCCTTCCAACGTAAGTGGCTCCAAGGGTTTTTCAATTGAAGGAATCGAAGGCCCTAAAGAAATGCACAATAAAGCTGCTCAACTTGTCAGGATAATTTTTGTATTTATACGAACATGGCAGATGGACCAAAAGATTAGAAAAAACAGTATTATTAAGCTTTCTGAAATTTCCCAATGAAGCCCAGATATAGTAAATCATATAAGTCATTGGGTGACAGGGGAAGGGGTGGAAATCAGTAGATACCCATACCTTATACTCTCTTATATCCAAGACTGCATATGCATGGGTTGGAACTAAACCCCATTTTTCTCCTTCCTCTTCAGACATCACCCCTGTTGCTGTCGTAATAAGGACGTCTCCTTTGTGAAATCTGTTCAAAAAGAGGTAAAAAATAATTTAAATTTTAGCACTTGTAAACTATCTTTTGCTAGACACTCTAATGACATGTTTTTACATTGCCCATTACTGAGACTCTGCTTTATAAAAACTGGAATATAATTTTTTTTTCTTTTTTTGTAAGCAGAAATCATTCCTGAAAAAAAGTGCTTGAGAAAGTGGAATTATTTCCTTCCAGTATTAAAGTGAAGGCTTTAAGTGAAAAATGACTATTTTCATTATACAATAAAAGCAGCGTTTGTCAAACCTGAAATCCAGTGTGTCACCTGTTAAAGATATGCTTTACAGATCTTCAGCTGATCACAAATTTGGTTTCATCAGCACTTAGCCAATCGCTTTATATAAGCAAATTAATAAGTCCACTACCCATAATGATTCTGAGGGAGTTTGCCAAAACCTGAAGAATGAGAAGTACCTGCTTCTATACTCTTGCATGGGTTTACACAAAGGTTTTGTGTCCCTCAACAGAGGCCTACGGAGTCTCAATTTTGATAGCTCCAATGTCTTAAATAATAATAATAAAAAAATAAAAATCCCTACTCAGGGAGCCTAGAGAGCTTTCAAGATCAATGGACTGTGGACTGACACATTTCCAGTCTAGCGATTAACATAAGAGTGATGTTGTTATGGCTAGATCCCATCCTAAGTGCAATGACCAACTACTATGCCAGAATGTCTGAAAAGTCCATAACACACACCTGAGAATTCCTAACCTACTGAACACAGCACTGTAGAAATTTACAGTCACGTTCTTTCATCATGAGTGCAGGTGGCTTCAGTTAATACAATATCCCCTTCTACGTCCTTGAAATGAGATACTGGTTGCACAAACTAGACAGTTTCGAAAGGAATCAAAGCACTTTCTAGGTGAAAATTGAAAGTTACACTTGTATGTTTCATGTTATGGTAGATCTGAAAATTAGTACTGCAGTTTTGAGAGACTTTCTGTACTGCGCTTCTCCAGATTTACTAACAGGGCATAGTTACCAAGACTTTGTGATACGATTAGAAATATCATACCCTATCTGCTTCTATAATGTCAGCAGTTCAATGCCAAAGTTCTGGGAAATGCTCTGCCTACATCTCCTCTTGCTTTTTAACATATTTAACTTGTACACTGCTTCCAACCTACTCTTCTCTGACTTCACATTCCATTTTCTTCACCAACTCGTAACTGAAGAAGTGGGGTATTTTTTTTCTTTCAGAAGGCAAGGAATAGAAGTTATATCTCAAACAAATTCCCTCAAATCTTTCATTCTATCAAAGTCACCAATACCTCTATTTTTTTTCTTCCAGAAAGCCTATGGAGATGCTATAAAGTAGAATTTGTGGTAGAACCACAATGGTAGCAAGGGATCTATGGCAACTGTACTGCTTTTATATTGGTAACTCAGCTACCGCACAGCAAGCATTTTGATTATTTAGGAAGGAACAAACTTCTACCTCTGATAAAGCATTCTGAAAGTATTATCTTTATTGAAAGCTTGATTGTCAGAGTGCATAGCAATCCTTTCAGGTATCCAACCAGTCAGTGCATGGAGATCGATATTCTGAAATGCAAGCATTCAATGAAATCATAATAGATAATCCATCTATAAGCATATGATGCCTATAAATAAATCATAAAAGTACCTTCAAAGAAATCAAGCATATGCTTGAAAATGAACTGACGGGGTACTAGAATTTCAGAGCTACGCAAGCCGTAACAAAATAAGAAACTGATTAACCATGCTCAATTTTGTGTGTTCCATTTATTTATTTGATTCATGGACTTTCAAAGTGTATTCTCAGAAGCTATTTGGAACCTTGCTATTATATATGCAATTTTAATTACATAAATTCTACTTCTAAGACTCAGGATGTGGGTTCTCTCTTCTTTTTGGTAAAACTAACAGTGACATGCTTTTCAAAAAAAACCAAAAAACTTTAATCTCCCCATTTCATCTTCATGAAATGCTACTTCCTCCCCTTTCTTTTCTTCTGTACTCCTCAAAGCAAAAGCAGAGACTATAAATGCTTGAAGTGTCAGTGACCACTACAGATAGGTGGGAACTTCAGGAATTACAAATACAATACAGTCAGTAAGTAAATCTTTGGTTATACAAGGAAACCATAATAGTCAAAAGCAGAGGGGGCAGTTAGAGTGGTGGTGAGAATTAAGCAGCCAAGTCAAGCTGTTTTTCTGGATAGCAAGTTAGAGGAGGACAGAGAGAATACACCGAGCTATTTCATCTCACCAGCTTCTCTCTTCTCCAAAACAAAGTAGCCCAACACTGAGATAAACATATATGAAAATATATGCTATGATTACCCCTTATACAAGGCCAAATTTGCCTTGATAATCATATTTCAGAAGGCCATTACTTAGAATACCTTCAGTGAATGTGGTTATTAAGACACCACTTAGAATGCAAACAGCATCAGGAAATCAAAAATATACTGTTGAAATTTGAAAAAAAAGTTAGAATGAAAAATCAGAAATACTTCATAAGCAACAAATGAAGATTACATGGGCTACTCATTTCAGTAAGTTAGGCTTTTTAAAAAAATATTTTGCATGCCAACCTAGCTGCGCCATTATGACTTCTTCTTTAGTACCCATATTATATGAACATGTTTCAGATTTATATAAATAAGTGAAACAATCTGGTAAATAGTAACTTTCACATACCTGTTCCCACTATATACATGGAAAGACTAACTGATTAGTCTGTTCCTTTTCTAGTTGACTCCCTCTTAAGGAGCAAGAATTGCCCTATTACTCTGTTTTGATGGAATTTATCAAGTACAGTTAAGTACATACAAACACACTTGCAAAACAAAAAAACCCCCAAACCCCCAAAAAACAACAACAACAACAAAAAACCCACCCCAAAAACTGGTACTCATCTCTGCAAGCAATTCACTTAGACTTCACTAGGAAGAAAATTTTTCAATCTGTGATTAATCAAAAGGAATTTTTTGCTTCTGCTAGAAATGATCCAGTACTTACAGAATTTGATCCAGGAAAATCATATCCTCCCATTACCTTCATGTAAGCCTTTTCTATTAATGATACCCATAACTCATTTTTATTGTTGGAATAAGAGCAGAGAAGCTCTCCATTATGATCAATAGGTAACTGGTCATCTATGATAACCTGTGCAAAACAAAACACATGAAAATCATCATGAAACTAATAATGTATTTTAAAGAAAATTCAAAAAGATAAAAAACTAGAATTTCATTAATATACAACTCTGATACACAACCAGGCCTGACCATTTTTCCTCAGATGTGAATACCTCTCTCAATCCTGCAGTAGTTTGGCCTAGTGAACAAAGCAAATTCTATTGCCAGCTCTTTCACTGGTTCACTGGGTGAGCTGTGATCACCTGCCTCAATTTCCCTTATGTAAAATGGGGATAATGATAGTAGTCTCTTGTAAACTGCTTTAGCATCTATTGAAAGAGGTAGCCACAGAAAAGTTCAGTGTAATTACCAGCATTAAGAAAAAAAGCAGAGAAAAGCCTAACAATATCCCTCTCACCTAATAAGGAAACAGAGCACAGACTGTGCTCTGTAGCCGGCAGAAAGATAAACAGTTATTTAACTAAAGGGAAATGAACTATATGTCACATCACTTTCATAGTCTCTAGTTCCAGACTTAAATTTCTTCTCTCTGGAAAGGAAAAAAAAAATCAAAGCAGCAATTGTGAAAGTATTAACACTTCTTTTTTAAATTAGGCAGAATACGCTTGACATTACTATAGATTGTTGCTACACTGTTTGGTCTGAAATCATTCCCCAGAACAGGTGTTTCAGTTTCACATTGATATTTGTCTGCCACCAATACAAATTACTAAAAAAGCACATTTTCTGTGCTACGTATGGAAGGACGGATAATTCTATTCACACAAGAACAAACAGCTGTTCAGCCTCATAACCCATCTTTGACAGCAACCAATATTAGATATTTCAGAAAGAGTATTAAGAGCAGGACAAGTACATAAATGATAATTCCCTGAAACACTCTTTCAGATTGCAGAATTTTTCAACTCAAGGACTTCCTGAGCCAGAGGTTACATCTTAGCATTTAATAGCCTTTGATGGCTTTTTTCCCCATGAATACAACTACTCAGTTTTTGAAATCTCATAAACTGTCATCATCTGCAACAATGAGTACAATTAAGTATCATGTGAAGAAATACATTATTTTATGCCTCTATTTGTTGTACTGAAAAGATAGCAAAGCTGTTCTTGAATTTACCAAGTTCTATTATACCCCTTCAGACATCTCCTCTCCTTATTAAAAATCTTTGGTCAATTCAGTCATTCCTTTGTGGACCTTCCATACCTATGTTCTTCCTGGATGTCCCTCTCTAGACTTTTTCTATTTCTAATACCTCCTTTCTGAAATGGGGTAGAGAAAGGGGATTATTTGCACCCCAACTGAAGACACACCACAAATTTATACAGCGGTAAAGAGTTATTCCACCCTTGCTCCCCACCTTCTTTTTTTTTTTTTTTTCTCCTGCATTAGTTTCATAATTCTTTTAAGCACTGTAAGGAAATGTTATGAGTTTAACATAGGTGAGTAAGTTATTCCAGTGAAAGTCTGCAGAAAAAATACCCACAGTCTGCTACATACTTCACAACCAAAATAAAACCCAAAAGGTGCAACAATTAAGCACCATTTTCCAACAAAAAAATGGATTCAAAGTTTTTGCTAGATAAGCATAGCTTCACAGTAAAGCACAGCAAGCCATTAAAACACACAGCTTAAGCAGTCTTAGTCTCCCCAGGACCATTTACCTTTCTAGGAACACCATTGATGTGAAGTTTCACCATGTATTTTCCACATGGATTATACTCTGGTTCACCTTTCTTATTCTGAGGGTAAATTATACTGTTAAAAAAAAAAAAAAAGACAAGTTATGACATAAATGACTTGGCTCTATGTACAAAAAGACTGATATTAGGAGTTGAATTAACATGGTCTGTTTCTAGAATTTATAACTTTATATAAAAGAGCTACTCAAATTTAGTAAAAGTGTCAATGCTGTTTAACTAAATTTTATTTTTTGGATCTTACTTTTGCTGCATTTCTCTACTTAACAGAGTAACAGGAAGAACATAATTAACCTAATTGTTCCTCCAGCAAAAGCAAGGCAAGTAACTGTATCTTACTATTAAAGAAACCGTATTTCTAGAGCTGTAGTGCAAATTTAGTAATTGTATGGATGATAAAGGCAAAGATATGACCAAGGAGACAGTACAGAATCATTAAAACAAAAGTCATGGGTTAAAATAAAAATTCCAGAAACAACATTCGCACAACTGGTCTTGCAATAGGCTCCTGTCTGTCAAACCCATGCTAAACTTATCACAACACTCTAGTCAAGTGTAACCATGATAGTGTTGCTAACATTAATTGTACAACAGGATGCAAGATGGGCCATCTGTTGCACAGCAGTTGGCATAGCAAAGTAGGAAAACATATCTCTAAAGCGCTATAAATAAAATTTCCACTAAGAAAGCAAAAAAACAAACAAACCCTTCCAAACTACTTTTTCTCCCTAAAAGCATATCTACAGTTAGACTCCAAGTCTGCATTATACATCTACCTGAACTTGTCTTCACTTTCATGTGCTAAAGCCACATGAATTCCAGACAGAGGAAAGGAAAAACAAACGCTCACTTATTTTTACTGACCTGTCCAATAATATAGATGTAGAACCTCAGCTAAAGTTGATAAAAGCTGAGAATACTAATCTAATTATTTTTACTTTGACTTATTTAGAAATACTGTGTTTGATCTTGAGCAAGTTTAACAGACATCAGTTTGAACATCACCACCATAAAGCGTATTTCAAAAGTTTGGCAATATTAAGTCTGACAAAATCTTAAAGGACAGCTATTTACCTTGTAATCAATTTTTTGTTGTATCTTCTTTCATATGCTGCACTGATAGCTAGTGATGCCACAAAAGAACAATCTGACACTATTGTCTGTAAATAAAAGAAAATAGCGAGGACGTTTACTAATATTTAGATATCGAAAGACACATGTGTTGTGTGGGAAGGGAAGGAAAGTTGTCATTTAGTAGCTCCCTTCAAAAGGGAAGGGATTTGACCCAAGAGAAGCAAAGCTACTACTAAAGAGGCGGGAAAAGCATGCTCGCACAACACTAGGGCCTAACAGAGCAAGGCAGAATTAAAGGATTTACTAACGACAACCAAAGACAAGTGCAGATATCTCACCTCATCATCCACCTACACGTAGCCCCACCTTCCCAAAGCACACTGTGTAACATAAGCCAGATCCAAATGGCAGAAATTGTTGCTGATTTCAGAATAACTTGGCCCATTATGCAACTTAACATTAAACAACAGATTTCCACTATTCTTAATGGGCCACTCTGCTTCCTGACAGCTAAAAAAAAGTTAAGTCTTGCCCAATATTTTTTGCATGCAATAACTTAAGTGAAGAATTTGCTGCAAGGTATGCCTTGCCATTTTTGATGCTAATCTTACCATTACTTTTGGAAAAAAGGATTTTTGCTGGAGTTTTCATTTCTACTGTTAACATGTCTGTTTATTCCTATGGCTATAAAACACAGGGAATCTAGCGCAATATTATTTACTGATTTATTTATTTACCCTTAAGAGGGTCAAGAAAAGCTCTTGCCACTTGAGAGGTCCTTTTGAACAAGTATTCCTTTTCACCTTTAGAGGGTCTCATACTCTCTGTAACCAGCTCCAACAGCATGGGCTCCTCTTTAGGAACAAATTACCTGTTTTATGCTGAAACTTGATACAGTATAAATCATCGTAGGGTTATTTGTTAGGTCATCTGGTCGCACCCACTTGGCAAACATTGCTTTCTGCTTGGGAGATAATGGTAACTTGCCACATTTATCACTGGATTTAAGAAAGGAGAAGTAGCAATAAATCAACAGCAGTTCAGAAGAAACTTCTCACAGTACAGCTTATACAACTGATACATAGTAGAAAATATGTGCAAAAGAGTTACATAGCTTTATACACACAGCTATAAAACAACTGCAAAGAACAGTGCTGTAAAGTTGATGATTTGGGGGAAAAAAGCAGAAGCTAGTAAAAGCACGAAATAAAACCTGAGAGCTTCCTTCCTATAAGACTACACAAGCAGAAACTCATTTTTTACCTCTTTACTTCCAAACAATGAATTATTAATAAAAAGTTTCCTTGGTCCTGAAAATATTGAAGCTTGTCTGATTTCCAAGCCTTTAGTAGAAAATTGAAGGAAAAAAGAGGTGTCTTTGTCTACTCTCTATGTGATCTGAACCTATACCACTGCTCACGCATAAAGCCTAGCAGTTACATACATACCACTCCTCCTCTGAATAATCCTTCACAGAGGAAACAGCTATCACTTTCATTTTACAGATGGGATAACTGAGGCTGAGGGAGCTAAACTGATCAGGAGGCAACAGAGTCAGGAAATGGACCCAAACTGCCAGCCAAGTCCAGCACTCCAAAAAGCTAGAACTAATGTTCCCCTTATAGGCCACGCCAGCAAAAGCCCTACAGAGCAGGATTAGCTCACAGTAAACAGTCCTAAGATCAGCCTGGAAAAAGGAAGTAGTAGTATTTAAATATCCTGGCCTGAATTATGATTAAAATCCTACTTAAAAAGTTGCAAGTTCTAAAAGAGAAAACATAACAGTATAGGACATGGAAAAGTTTTGGAAATAAAAAACAAGTTTAAGTTTAGTAATTGAATAGCACTTACGAAAACGGCATAGGGAAGGCAAAACGTTCCCTCAGATCAACACTCATGAAAGGGACATATTCAATACCATTAATTTTTGAAGTCTTTCTGCAAGTCATAAGAGAAAAATATAATCACAGACCTATCTATCATCTTTCAAAGACTAAGCTCCAGTAAATAACGACAAAAATCAATGTTTAAAACCTATAAAGTGCTTCTGAAGACAAAAAGCGCTCTACCACTTGAAAAGAAAATAAGCACTGTACTTATTTGGTCTTGAAACGTGCAGTACTTGATGACTTCATCACTAATCCTGCAAGTGCATACTTGTGGACAAATCACCATGCCTCTGCAGAAAATGATTATAAAAAGGTGTGTGGCTGATAGGTCTAAAACTCACATTTAAAAATGTATTTATTTATCTGAATAGAACTTCCCAAGCCATCTTTTACTTCTCTTTTAAAAAAGACTCTCAGGGTGTGTAAATTGGCAGCAATTAACAATTAATGACACTTAATCTCATTATGGGAGTATTTTGAAACACTGCCAAACAACAATAATAAATGAAAATATTACACATGTTTATTGGTACATTAGATTAAAATGCACGGAACACTTCTTTAAAAAGTTCAGAATCATACTTAAATGTGAATGTAATTAAAGTTTCAATTATAACCAAGGAGTTAGCTGAAAAAGGTATGTGAAATATTTTCAACACAAATGATGATTAAAAATGCAAAACAAATTGAAGTTCTCTGTCCCGACTTAAAAAACAACCCCCCTCCCCAAACAAAACTAGAAACATACACTGCACAAACATTATAAGAGAAAAAAAGTGAACTTTTGGTTAAGAGCATTTTTACTGCTCTGTAACTTTTCAAGTGCACATATATTTCTATCTTTAGGAATATATCCTTCATCCACCTAAGTCTCTTAATGTCAATGAGCAGACTATTTTATATCAATCACAGATACTGTTGAGTACCACTTCCATCACAATTTTATTTGTTGTGTAGGGAGGAGGAGGAAGAGGAAGATCAAAATATTTATTGAATAATGTATTTAAGACATATTTGATAAAGACTTCAAAGTTCACGATTTAGGCTAGAAGTTTTATGGATTCTCTTCATTATTTGTGACTTATCCCACCTGTGATGAGAATCAATGCAAACAGAAATCATTTCAACAGAATGCACAATCCTGCAAAATATTAAGCTTCCTCAATTTCCAGTGAAGTAGTAGTTGTAACATCTCTAAAAACATCTTTGTACCTCACAGAATCGGATCTGTCATGAACTCAGTCAGGTAGGATATGTGTAACATAAAAAAACAAGGCTACTAAAAATAATATGGCAGTCAAATACAAAAAAGTAGCGTTTAAACACACTCTAGAAAGTCCACTACGTGAATAAAAGACACTAATTACATTACCAAAGAGAATACTAGAATTTATTAATGTGTAGAAAACAACAGCAATGGGAGATGATGAGTAAGAGATGATTTTGCAGCCCTTTGTTTATACACCTCATACTTATGCCGCTTCAATCTATTGTGTTAGACTTGCACAAATGGTAAAAACTGAGGAAAGTTGTCCTCATCTTACCTGAGTACTTCAATCTCCTCTGCTGTGTATCTCTGACCTTGAGATTCACTTGCTTGTACTGCTCTGATTATCTGTGGTTTATCATTTAAAGAAAAATCAGGTCCCAATGGAAAGAATGTTCTGACTGGCTGATTTGGTTTGACTACAGTTGACTTCTCCCTCTGAGAGGACTTTGACATAGATTCCTTCAGTGCCTCTGCTCTAAAACAAAAAACATTTTCTGTTTACAACAACATTAAACATATAGTTATGGTTCCATTATTCAGAAACCCAGGGGAAAAAAAAAAACTCCTTTCAGAATGATTCACAAACAGGAAACAAAAACAATTTCCTAACTGCCTGCCCTACTTTGCTATGAGCCAGGAACAGTGATAATCCACCAATATTAGCCTTAGCATCTCCTACTGTGTTGCTTCCTCTCAGAGCTTCAAGTTTTAATTTGTCTAGCAGCTACCACGCCAGTAAAGCCTCACTGCCATTCTCACAATCCCATATATGACTTGCAGTTCAACTGCTTGAAGATTGTATATCTTTGTTGCTGTTTAAGATGCTGGATAGTCACACGTATACGAATCAATATATCGTTCTTGAACACAGACTGAAACTTGCTCCAAAGCAACTTATACTGAAACTTAGCATGACAGAGACCATTATTCTAACCTCCATTATATAGCTAATTTAAAATGAGTTATACTGAACTTGCATGCATGTAACTGGTTTTAGAAACCCTATCCAGTCCACTAGATCTACCCTTACAATTAGATTGCCACCTTTAACCTAAACATTTTCCAGTTTCCAAGCTGCCTTCAGTATGAAGAGATGCTAACACCCTGACTTAGCGCTTGTGTGAATTTGGCATCTTTATAGAAGCCAAAAATTATAACACACTACTGTGATCTATATCTCTGAAGACTGAAGTGGTGCATCAGCACTAAAAAATACACAGTCCCTCCCTAATTTGGCATGTCCCAAGGTCCCCAGAGGATTGACACAACAGTTACTTTTTCAGCTGCTTAGCAACTGGCAGCTAGCTACCAGAAAAACGCTACACAATTTGCTTCTAGCCAAAATCCATGCTCTTTGCACCACAAAACAGACTGGATTAGATAATCCAACTCATAGGGTGCATTTAATCTTGATAGCAAATATTTATGCTAATGTTGGCTATACTCACCTATCCAGGGCTTGCCGAGCCAGCTGTTTTAGTTTTGACTGAAGGCCTGTTTCTGAAGTTTCAGTAGCCTTAAGTACAAAACAAAAGAAAAAGTTACACATTGAAAAAAACCTAGGTTAAAAAAAAAATCAGTTTGTCAAACATCACTTATGAATTACAGCATCAAACAGTCGCTAGCTATTTTTTCCAGTTCTCCCTTGCAATTAGTAGATACGGGTTTTCAATGTTGGCATAAAAAGTATACTAAGCAAATGAATATCATTTTGCTGTTCTGATGGATGTTCACAGAATTAAAATGACATTTAAAATTCTTGAGCATGGGAAACAGTGTATATGGAAAAAGTTTGCCAGAGGGATTAACCATATTAAAACTATGGGCAGGGAGAAGGCAAAATACTTTATGTTAAAACACTACTTAACTTAGGTGCGCTCCAATTCCTTCCCCTCCGAAATGAGTCAAAATAATCAGACAAAATTAAATAAATCTGAAGGTTTTGTTATACTAACAATAAAGAAAATCTGCTACCAAGTTAAAAATCTTTTTCTTGCACATCTAAGGCATAAAATCATCTAGGACAAAGCACCAAAACAGATATTAAGAACGCTAACTTCTGTTATCAGTTTGCGTAGTCACCCACGATATTTTTGTCATACAATCAATTTATACTTTGGTTTTTCTTACAGGTGAAGCACGGCTAGTGCAGCTAACAGGTCTGCAAGAGGCACAACATGGGATGTAGCTACTCCTGTGACACCCATAAGCACGTTTCAGGTGCTAGCTGTGTACCATGACTCACTCTCCCAAATCAGCTAGGTCAATGGGGAAAAAAACAAGAGGCAAGCTACTTTCACCCTACGAAACAAAACTAGAAATACCCTCTATGAGATTTTCTAGACAACTTTTTGCGATCTGGAAATAAATTATGCTGAGGGATTCTTGGCTGGAAAAGACTTTGAAAGATGTATGAAGGTAAGCAGCGGAGATGGTGCAGCAGCAGACCTGTCTAGGAGATAGCCATAGAAGAAAAGGAATGGCTGCTCTCCAAGTACTTCAAGGGTAGAGGAAGAGAGAAATCTCTCCACCTGAATATACTGAGCAGAAAGCAGGACAGAAGCAATGCTTCAGGATAGGAGAATTCTTTCAATCTTCTTCATCCTGGGAAGAAGAAGGTAATTTTTCATCCACCTGAGGGATAAAGCCTACAATCATCTTATCGAAAAAAAACGTGCTAGTCAAGTTTAAAAGAAATTTCACCAGTACCTGCACCTAACGAAAGACCAGGTAAGAGTACCTGTTATTTGACCTAATTCCAGATTAGCTACTATATACGTAAGTAATATTTTCAGGCACTGCTACAACAGGAGGAACACAGCAGAGAAAAACTAGTACAACAGCACAATAGGTTTTATATAATAGATAGAAGAAGTTCTGATCCAGCTAATCAAATGGAAGAACTACATCAGTTTTATGAGCCCTTAGTCTGATCACACTGCATCAGCATGGCTTTTGAGCCAACACAGAACCAGGAGTTCAGAACACAAAAGGTTTTACCCTAGTATGTAGCAATAGTAATGTTCCCCTCCCAACACCCCACATATATTTACGTTATAAAAAGGGAAGAGAAGAGAAAGAAGTAAAATAGACTTGGTGGAGTTACATCATGATGGTGAGCTCTTCCTGGAATGAGTTAGTTATGACAACTGGTCTTAACAGAAAAAAAGCAGTACCTGTAATTATATTCTATACTACCGACACAATGGCCAAGTTATTTGTACCACTTATTTCAGTGTGAACTGAATTCACTCATAAAGGCTTTAATGTTGAGCAATGAGTAACTGAGTGACATTTTTACCAGTTTTAGCATCAGTGGACCATTACATTTTTGGGAAGTATTACTCAAAAAAATTTCCCTTAAATTATTTCTTTTATCATATTAAGAAAGTAATATAGCTGACACATTAGCAAGTCATCTTCTTCAGTTTTAACTGTTTTTAATTTCTGTTTTAGTGTTGCACTGGCTCCCAGACAAAATATGAGAAAAAATTCCACGGTTATTTCTAGGTTTTAGTATAATGGGTTTCAGAGAAATTAAATCAAAAGTCCCCCTAACTTTACAGTGCTGAATAACAGCACAAAATCAAGATTGGAAAACATTACTGGAAAAAAGATTCAAAAATAGTTTTTAGAAATACAGGTACTCCATTTTTAAGCCAGCCTTTAAGGGTCAGTCACTTGTGCAAGTGGAAGAATTTCTTACCATCACATAATTCCACCAAGTTAACTTGTAGCTTAACATACTGTTTTCAAACAGAGTTCCACTGCTTCTGTGTACAACTCTACAGCTTCTTCTGCATTGCCTTTGTCATCTTCATCAAAAGCCTGTGTAACTAGGAAGTGAGCACGCTCCAAGTCCAACTGTTGTTTTGACTTCAGAGGGTCTGTGTTCTGTGACTGAACTAAATGAAAAATGTAGTATTTAGCATGTAAAAATATCCTTAATAAGGTACTTACTGACAAACACTAGCACTTCTAATTAGATGAGTAATATCTATTTTTTGTCTGGAAACCAAAACTTTTTAAACCTTGCTAAAGACATCTTTGCAAGGACAAAAAAGTAAAAACAAGAAAACAAAATCCCCACACAGGAATCAGAGATACACTCAAATTATTTCACACATCAAATAATGTAAATAAAACAGCTTTCACACAACATTAAGGAGAAAGTTATTTAATTACATAAAATACAGCAATGCTTCTGAAAACACATCACCTGCTGCAATACACGAGTTCCTTAGGCATCTATCTCATTTAATATCTTTATTAATAACCTGAAGGAGAAAAGAAAGTGCACCCTCATCAAGTTTGCAGACCCTAGCAAACCAGGAGATACAGTTGATATACTCAAGGACATGACTGTCATTCAGAGACCTAGATAAACTAAAGTAACAGGCTGACAGGAACCTCATGACATTCAACAAGGACAAATGCCCCGTGCCTGGAACAGACTAACACCCTGCACGGTACAGGCTGTGACTGCCTGGCTGGGGAGCAGCTCTGCTGAGAAGGGCCTGGGGGATTTGGCGGACAGTAGGTAAGCAGGAACTAGCATGGCCCTGACAGGGATGAAAGCTAACAGCATTGGGGACTGTATCAGCAAGAACGTGGCCAGGAGATCTAGGGAATGGATTTTCATCTTCCGCTTCGTACTCAGTAGACCCCATCTGGAATACTGCATCCTTATGGGCATCCCTAAGGCAGCTGGGGCTGGAATGCTCGGCCTCTGAGGAGAGGCTGAGGGAACTGCCTTGCTCAGCCAGCAGAAGAGATGGCCTCGGGGGCTTTTGACTATAAAGACAAATATGCACTGGAGTGGGGCCCAGAGAAGCTGGGGAATTTCTCTTCAAAGATTTTCAGCACCTGCCTGGACAAAACCCTGAGCAACCTGGTCCGAATTCAGTGCTGACCCTGCTTTGAGCAAGAGGTTGGTCTAGAGACCTCCTGAGGTCCCTTCTAGGCTCAGTGATCCTGTGATTCTAAATGAGAATTGCAGGTGTACAAAAATTGGAGATTCTGCTCTAAGTCCAGATACTGAAGTGGGATCAAACAAAGAAACCCTTATGAGGGCAAACAGTTTTCTCCCTCTCAAAGTTAGTAATTCTACATGAACGCCAGAAACACTTGCTTCACATGCATCACAGAGCCGAGTCTTAGATGTAAGCTATGATTTGTTCCTGATCTTTTTTTTGTTCCTATGTTTAATTATTTCCTCATGTTTGTTGTACAGATGTGGTTCCTAAGAATATTTAAAAGGAAAGAAAATTCACACTCAAGTCATTCATCATTGTATTTGTGGTCCTTCAGAGAGAAGGATAATCATGGAAAACAGCAAACATCACAGATATATATTTCACAGCACCAACAAAGCTTTATATTCAATTAATTTAAGCAGAGGTTCGATTAGAGAGCTCCTTACCCACCTGCTGAATGGAGAGCTTGAACTCTCTCCAAGTACTCATTTATTTTTTCTTGAATATTTTCCAAGTTTGACCCTGCCATCCCAGCATAAATCAAGGCTTGTGCAGCTTCCTACAGGGAGAAGAAGTTGAAACAAAGTTAGTGTCTGCTGCCTGGAAAACTACTTTACATAAACTGAGGGCCTATAGGAATAATGAGCTGTATGAAAGCAAATCACCACATCTGCATAAAGGCTCAGTGGCTGGAGGGAAAATCTGCCCAAAAAGAACAAGTTTCAAGTTATAAATGACATCAATTCTCTATTCAATTTCTCACACAGAGGACAATCTATAAAACTATAATAAATCTCCTGAGAGTCTATAAACATAGATCTCAGATCTATCTGTATTAGTCAAATGCAAAGCTTAAGGGATTTCAAACAACAAACTTCTTCAAGCATGCACTTAACTAATTTAAGTATAGCCCACAGGCAGTCACAAACTGCCTTTTATTTTTAAAAGGCTTCAGATTTAAGGTTGGGGGAAAAAACCCACCCTGCTCACATTACTTGCATTTAATCTGATAATAATGAGACATGAATGAATATAAAGGCTTTCCAAATTGAAACGCATGAAAGTTTGGTTTAGAAATCACTTTCTATTAGTATAGCCAGTATAAAGCTATCAAATCTTGAAGTTCTACAAAATTAAAAGTTCTTGGCTCCTCAAACTTTGATCTTTGAAGGTTTGTATGCATACAAAACACTGGATATTGATGGAAGCTTACTTCCAGGAGGAAACATAGGTCTCCAGCTTGGAAGAATAGTATGTTACTTCTATTAAGGCTTTTTCTATGCCTACAAATTTATTAAGAAAAAATGCTTTCAATTCTCTAAGCTCTCCACTCATTCGCTGAATTTATGAAAAATATATAAGGTTTGGCAGGGTTGTAATGAAAAGCTCAGAGCTGACTCAGTCTCAGAAACATGGAAAATTGAATTCTGTCAACTCCCAAAACGAGGATGAAATATCTTACTTTGTCCTCATTCTTTGTATACAAAGAACCCCACTTTTGTGGCAGTGCCTATCTTGCCAACAGCAGCAGAACAGAGACAGAGGCAGTCACGGAGCAGGCCAAGCACGTAGGAAGCAGAGCAATAACTGCTAGGGAGCTGCTCCACAAAGACGGCGCTCAGAAAGGCTGCTCTGCTGAGGGTAAGCACAGAGCCATAACCAGAGAGTCTCTCTCTTGCTTTATGTCCGTGATTTTGTCCAGCTTATAAGTCTGCACCGACCCCTAGGCATCTGCCTAGTTTGCTCAAACTTAAAGCTGACCCTGGCACAGCCTGTCCTTTTTTACTGACAAGTATCACAGAATTAGGTATTACATACTCCCTGTCAACATCTATCACCATACTGCATCACCATACTGCAGAGAATGTGTGCACAGTAAGACAAAGGTAGAAAAGTTCTGTTTCATTTATATGTAGCAATTAAATACCATTAAGGCCTAGCATACAGCTGTCCTTGGGAAAAACAAAGCACTTAAGAAAGCTGCTCAAAGAACGTGTATATTTCTCTGTGGCATTCCACAAGTACAGATAAAATGCGTTGTTACCCTCATAACAGTAAATTGTCTACATATAATACAAAGAAGCTATGTGGATCTTCAGACCAGTGCTACAAAAACAATGCATAATTGATGTTTCTTCTGTGTTTGGCCTGGTTTTCAGATGCCGACAGAGGGGAAAAGATCATTTGTGCGTTAAACCTCTGAAGGACTGAAGCAGTCGACCAACTGCCTGCAGAGGCAGCCTGTCAACTGTCTCCTGTCAGAAGACTGAAGTGCAATTCAGAGTCGGTATTTACAATCTCCTCAATATCACTACTGTTCTTTGCCATGACGAGTGTGCCACAATCACACTAAGCTAACTGCTGGTCATCAGTTAGCAAGTTGGCAGCTGCCGGTTGACAGTCAAGTTTGGCAACAGTCTTCAGCAGTTTTGCTGAAGTTATCAGTTGCCCAAATATGTTTCTGACATTTCTGTACAGCATCTTTATCAACAAGGCCATGCTGTTACCCTAAGCTGGTTAACATGCAGCCCTCCTCTACAGGTCTGTCAAAATTCCACTGTAGCAAGAAGTGAACAGCGCTTGCTGCTCATAGGAACTCCATTCAGACAAGTCAGTTTGTTGTCTGTCAACAGCATCACGTAGCATTCATTCCCACGTGTTCTTCTTAGGTCAAGTTCTTGCAGAATTGAATTCAGTACCCAAGCTTTCCTACATGTGGAGTAATCACAGCTCAGAGTGCACCGAACTGCTCTGAGCAGTTAGTGAAGAAGCTGGTGACAGGTCTGAGTTTATTTGCACTGTCAGGACTTGCATAAAGCACCCCTAAAATACTAGATCCTATTTAATAACTACTTTTGTTCAGTCTAATATTGTCAGTGATTCTTCAGGCAAAAAATGCAAAGCCAAACCTATCCAGTCTGAATTACGTATAAAGAATTCATTTGATATATGCATACTTGCTCAATATGTACAAAACCACTTGATCAATATATGCTGAATTGCTCTCACTTGTCCCAGTCAACATCAGTTTCAACACCAATGCCTTCATGTGTCATCTGACACAAGAGTCAATACCTAGCCTGAAATGTTCACTGCGGAGATGCAACTCAGAGCTTTCCTCATACAAAGCAGTGTCCATACTCACACTGCTCTGTGGCCTAGCTTCTGAAAACCACAATGGCTTTTCTACATCATACTCAGGTACCTTGAGGCACACCTATGCTACCAGAGATGCATCTTTGTTCTTAGTAAGAATGTTGTGCACATACAGCAAGTGAGAAAGATTTTCCACGTACAAAAATTGTATAGAAATAATTGTCTGCACAATAAAGATGGTTTTCTTCTGTTGAGCACTCAGCAATTTTCCAGATATGCTGAGAAAAATATTGTAATAAGCAGCTGTCCTGTGCACAGACATTAGACCATGTACATACATTTGCAGACCTTTGTGCTCATCAGCATTGCTATTGGTAATTATACCTTTTCCATATATGTACATACACTGTTTAATCTGATGACAGCTCACCCTACACTAACAGCCAGGTTAAAAAAAAAAAAGAAACTCCTCTTCCTATCCTGTCACACTTAAACACACAGGCCAACATGATTATAAACACTGTATTTTTCATACACTTCACAGACACTTAGCATTCATGAAACAAATGGCCAACTGCAGATCACTTGGTAAGTTAATGGAAGAGAATTACTTCAGCA